TTTCTATAATCTCATTAACCTAATCCAACAATCTACTGGCGTTTTTATAATCTCATTAACCTAATCCAACAATCTACTAGTTTTTATAATCTCATTAACCTAATCCAACAATCTACTAGTTTTATAATCTCATTAACCTAATCCAACAATCTACTGGTGTTTTTATAATCTAATTAACCTAATCAAACAATCTACTAGTTTTTTATAATCTCATTAACCTAATCCAACAATCTACTAGTGTTCTTATAATCTCATTAACCTAATCCAACAATCTACTAGTGTTCTTATAATCTCATTAACCTAATCCAACAATCTACTGGTGTTTTATAATCTAATTAACCTAATCCAACAATCTACTAGTTTTTATAATCTCATTAACCTAATCCAACAATCTACTAGTTTTATAATCTCATTAACCTAATCCAACAATCTACTAGTGTTTCTATGATCTCAATAACCTAATCGAACAATCTACTAGTGTTTCTATGATCTCATTAACCTAATCCAACAATCTACTGGTGTTTCTATAATCTCATTAACCTAATCCAACAATCTACTGGTGTTTCTATAATCTAATTAACCTAATCCAACAATCTACTAGTGTTTCTATAATCTCAATAACCAACTCCAACAATCTACTAGTGTTTCTATGATCTCAATAACCTAATCCAACAATCTACTAGTGTTTCTATAATCTCAATAACCTACACCAACAATCTACTAGTGTTTCTATGATCTCAATAACCTAATCGAACAATCTACTAGTGTTTCTATGATCTCAATAACCTAATCCAACAAGCTACTGGTGTTTTTATATTCTCACAATATTTTTTCCCAAATCTAATGAAAATTCGAGACTTTACGTGCTCATCAAGTAAGGTAAATCTAGAACTTTCTCTAGCTAAAACAACACAAAGTACAGCCTATAACACTAGCAATTGAACATGCTCAATAACTTTAGGGTATCTGACTGACTGTAAAAACCGATTTAACTACCATTAAACGATCTTTTTTTTAAGTTGTCTTTTCAGTCATGAAGTCAAAAGTTTCTTAAATGTTAATGAAGATAAGGCTGCTTCTGTTTTCATGATCAGTGGTATAGTACAATTTTAAATAAACTGTATTAGTGATTATAGGTGGATCGAGTTAGCACAAGTTATTATAAGATAAAACACTTGAAGAAAACAAGAAAATATATTTTTTATTTTTGAGTGCAATATAACAGATTACATACATCATGTTAATAATTCATGTATAACTTAACAGTTCTTTAACGTAGAAATAAAATTCAAATTACGCACTAAAAAAAGGGAATGATATTACTATTAGGTTACGTTAGGCCTAGGTAAGCCAAATGCTAGGCTAATAGTTAACTTGTGGTTGACGTTAGGCCTAAGGTAAGCCAAATGTTAGGCTAATAGTTAACTTGTGGTTGACGTTAGGCCTAAGGTAAGCCAAATGTTAGGCTAATAGTTAACTTGTGGTTGACGTTAGGCCTAAGGTAAGCCAAATGTTAGTCTAAGAGTTAACTTGTGGTTGATAGATATACTTACTATAGGCTTAAAGGCACATATTACACATACAGACTTACCAAGTTTTATCCTCTTCTGCTTAAATGTTTTGGCAAATTCTTCCAAATCTTCAAGAGCTGGTATCTCCTCAGGACAGGCTTCCCTCGACTGTAGTTTTAAGGGTGAACTTGGCGTAGCAATCTGGGAAAAACACTGTTAAAAAGAAAATAGTTCTTAACTATACGCATTGGAATTACGCACAGTGTAAGCGTAGGTTTATATTTCGCAATAAATAAGATATTTATTTAATGACGTCAAAACCTACTGTAATGACGTATAAAAAATTTTGTAACTTGTTTTGGACTAATGAGCTGACTTAAAAACTGTATTAATTCGTCAGTTACTTACGATCTGGCTTTTAAAAATATCAATTTAGAACTAAATCCCAAGCTAGCGTGCAAAAATACAATAATTAAGTCAGTAAAAAAAAACTGATGTACATTTTTACACTTCTGGAAAAAAACTATAAACAAAATTTAAAATTTTCACCTACATATCCTTAATTTTACATTTTATATATAATGCGAGGGCATTTTATTCAAACTTATTTTAAAACTTACCGAAAATAAGGATTGTACGTCTGGTACTACTTCAGTGAGATTCTTGTTAAGGTTATTAATATGGTCCGGCCACAAAGCTACATTATTTTAGGCGTAGTAGTATATACTAGACTTATTGAACAGGTCTGTATGGAATACAGGAGAGGACTACGTTTTAATCAATTTGTTTGTTTTTACAGAGCAAAGCTAGATTAAGTTATATACTGTGTCCACCGCGAAGAATCGAACCCCGAATTTTAGCGTTGTGAATCCGTAGTCTTACTGGTGTCCCATCGGGGAACTATCTGTTGTATAACGCGGGAAATCGAACTTTGGGTTTTAGTGCTGGGGGGCGTTTAAATATCTGCGGATCTTAGAAAACATTAATCCGTCTTTACTACTAAGTCTATACAAAACGTCCTACAGAAATAATCTTTTTAAAACGCTACTGTTTCCCAGTGAAGTAGATGAGGAAAACTCTCCACAAATAAACAAATAAATGTTCAAAACAATTCAAATTTAAACTACAATTATTATTAACATTGTCATGTTCCTATTATTAAAATATTATACATCAAAACGCACTGGCCAATAAGATATCTGGTTGTGAAATATAAACAAAAATACTTGTTTTAATTCCATTAAAAAAATCAAAAGTGCAAACCTTGGCTTGCAGCGCCTCCTGTGGTTGGCATGACAACTGTTTATTGGATTCTCTGATTCTCTGAGGAAGAGTTTGATGTCCTTTAGGGACATCAGCTTGTGGATTCCCGGTAGGAGAACCAACCTGATTGATTTGAGACTGTACTTTTTGCAATGATTGTTGCATCAAAAGACCCTAGAAATATTAGTTGAAATTTTTAGTTCGGAAAACTATTTTTTAAACGTGTCAGTCAGTTCGTGATTGGTCAAATCAGACAACTAACCTTTTAAATATGACAACGTGACTTGAAGGTTTGAGAAATAAGACAAATAACTTTTTTAACAGAACAACGTGATTTGAAGGTTTGAATAATCAGACAAGTAACTTTTTTAACAGAACAACGTGATTTGAAGGTATGAATAAGACAAGTAACTTTTTTAACAGAACAACGTGACTGGAAGGTTTGAATAATAAGACAAGTAACCTTTTTAACAGAACAACGTGACTTGAAGGTTTGAGAAATAAGACAAGTAACTTTTTTAACAGAACAACGTGACTGGAAGGTTTGAATAATAAGACAAGTAACCTTTTTAACAGAACAACGTGACTTTAAGGTTTGAGAAATAAGACAAGTAACTTTTTTAACAGATCAACGTGACTTGAAGGTTTAAGAAGTAAGACAAGTAACTTTTTTAACAGAACAACGTGACTTGAAGGTTTAAGAAGTAAGACAAGTAACTTTTTTTAACAGAACAACGTGACTTGAAGGTTTGAATATTAAGACAAGTAACTTTTTTAACAGAACAACGTGACTGGAAGGTTTGAGAAGTTTAATATACTGTAACTGCATGTTGAAAGAGATGCCGTTTCGGCTTCTATACCGATACCTGAAGAAGGTCTCGGTAAAAAAGCCGAAACGTCATCTCCCTCTCTTTCAACAGTCCATTAAAAACCTCAAACTAAAGTTTTATTGAAACAATATGACTTGAAATTTATTTTATTCACAGAAAATAAAAATTATCCCTAGAAAACAAGAACATTGATGTCCAGGAAACATACATATTTTATCATGCCATTCTTGTAGACTTTGGTAACAATAACTTGTGTTTAGGTTATTGAAAATTCTGAATTCTATACAACAAGGTGTTACTGTATAGAAAATGATATATCAGCAATTTTAAACGAAGTGGTAATACAATCAAAGTTATAGTTCACTATCATCTTTTGCAACAACTTAATATACTATTTATTATGCTTTGTCTTACAACGTTTTACTATAAATCTGTATATACTACTAAACTCTGAGATTGTTTGTTTTCTTGTCTGTAATTAAATACAGCAAAAACGGCGCACAATACCGCCATACTTGTAATGAAATGAGAATAGAAACAGAATAAAACAAGTTTCGTTAAAATCGGGCCGCGGGTTACCGAGTTAGTCTTGTTTTTCGGGTCACTTTTATGAAAATTTCTAGACTAGATGGCGCCACATATCGGTTTATCTATCTATGTATTCGTTTTCCACCATATGAATAACTTTAAAATATCTTCTGTACAACAATATATGCACAACAGAAATTAAATGATGAGATGAAAATGTGTTATAACGACGCGTAGAAAGAACAACAATAAAATGGATCTACAA